CACTCTAACTACTGCCTCGTGAAACCATGGCCCTTGACAACCACTGAGGGGAAACTTTCACGGGGCCAGAACAACTAGGCCTATCCGGCTATCTTAATTGCGAGTTTAGCATTCAGTTCCTTAATTCTGCTTTTAACAACGGGGAGAGACAGCTCTTCTCGTAGAATAGAAGTTTTGGCAGTTTTTCGGGGCTCCAAGAGTGATTGTCATGGCTTTATTTTGTATGCTTTCAAGCCTTTTCATATCGCTTTGTGGGAGTAGGTGCATAAAACTGGTGCTGCATAGTCTATGGCGGAGCGCACGTAGGCTGTGTACATCACTTTAAGAACAGCAATAGTGGCTCCATGTCCATTCCAGGTCATAGCTTTCAGCGCCCCGAGTCGACTTGTATATGTTCCTATCAGTTGGTTGAGCTCCTCTTTCTTCCCCCTTGTTAGAGCCGACAGTGACCCCAAGGTACCGATAGTGGTCAACCCATTCAAGTGTTTCACCATTAATTTGTAGTTCTTCATATTCTCCCCGGTTGTGATGAGAGTATGCTTTTGTCTTGTCTGTAGAGAGAGCGAAACCGAGTTCAACACATTTCCTTTCAAGAAGGTCAAGGGGACTGCTTAATTCCCCCCCCCCCCCCAAGGTGGGAGCTTGTAGTAGGACATCATCTTCATATCCCACTTGTTGTAAGTGATCCTTCCGGAAAGTCAATATTAGCAATGGTGTTCATAAGGGTGTTGAACTGTGTGGGAGGGAGTTGTATTCACCTAGTTGTGTTTTGCGGGGGTTGAGCTTTGCTCTTTCGGCCCGCCTCTCAACTGTCAATCAACTGTTTACTAACTACTTTTTTTTCCCCACACCACACACACACCCTATGAAGCAGCCCGTGACAGCTGACTAACTCCCAGGTACCAATTTACCCCCCCCCCCTCCCACACACACACACACACACACACACACACACACACACACACACACACACACACACACACACACACACACACACACACCAGGGAGCAGCCCGTGACAGCTGACTAACTCCCAGGTACCTATTTACTGCTAGGTAACAGGGGCATTCAGGGTGAAAGAAACTTTGCCCATTTGTTTTTGCCTGGTGCGGAAATCGAACCCGCGCCACAGAATTAAGAGTCCTACGCGCTATCCACCAGGCTACCTGTACCAGGCTACCTGTACCAGGCTACCTGTTGTTTTGGGAATGGGAGAGGAATGTGGGAGAGGTGAGGAGAGGGTTATTGAGGGTGGGGAGAAGGGATGGGGGGGTTGTGGGATAGTAGGTAGGATGATCGAGGTAACTATACATGTGGTACTTTAAGGATATTTGGATAGTATGATAGGTAAGGTAAAGGAAATTATGTAAGAGGACGGTAATTTAGAAGATGGGGGGATAGGAGATGATGATGGGTACGGTAGGTCGGGGTGAAGATGCGTGCCTATGTCAAGACTCTTCACTGAGCATCAAGAATCATGGGAGAAGTTTATGGGTGTCGTAACCCGTCCCGTCTTCCTGTCCTCCTCCTCCCTCCTCCTTCCTCTTGGCTTCCACATTCTTGGTCTTCCTCGTAAAAGATGATGTGAGGTTGATTGCGGGATTCCTCCTCCCTCCTCCTCCTCCTCACACACACACACACACACACACACACACACACACACACACACACACACACACACACACACACTCACTCACTCACTCACTCACTCACTCACTCACTCACTCAATCAGTGGGCAGCGCTCTAGACTCCTAATTCTGTGGCCCGGGTTCGATTCCCGGCGCCGGTGAGAAACAATGGGCAAAGTTTCTTTCACCTTGATGCCCCTGTTACCTAGCAGTAAATAGGTCCCCTGGGAATTAGACAGCTGTTACGGGCTGCTTTCTGGCGGGCCGATAGAGTAGAGCTCAACCCCCGAAAGCACAACTAGGTGAGAACACACTCACTCACTCTTACTCCCACCCTCCCTCTCTTCTTCCCCCTTCCCCCCCCACTCCCTCCACTCCCCCTCCCCCTCTACCCAGCTCCGGCAACCCCCCCCCCCAGTATTAACAGCCTATCTTGCTATTTGGACGACTCACAAACCACCCCATTACATTGTACAAGACATCTCCCAGCAGCGGTACACAACCCGTTCTCTCTGATACTACACCGTATTTTGACCTATAAATCCCTCCCTTAAAACTGATATACCCCAAAAATCATAGCGGCACGCAAAAATTGACGTGATGTCCGGTTTTCTATTGGTTGCTCCTCAGTTAGGTTAGGTTCGGGCAACTTAGTGCAAAAGGTTAGTGACGTTGTGACTGCTCGAGAGGACGGACTAGTCCAACCCTCGAACTAATAGAAAACGTATCACTCAACTGCAACCTGTCCTCCTTCAAGGAACGTTGCTTTTCGCACGTATGCGTTACATAAAGGGCCAAAAAAGGTCGTACTTGAAAAAAGGAATCGGCTAGCGAGAGTGACGTACTGTCCCGTTTTCTGTTTTGGATCCTCTGGTAGGTTAGGAATGGACACTTTAAACTGACCGTTTCTTAGACGTTGGGGGAAGCCTTAGGAGGACGGGCTGGTCTGAACTATGGTAGCTTAGTGCTTCCTTCGCTATAGTCATAGTGGCTTAGCGTTTTCTTCTACTTTACTTACCTCTTATCATTTTCTTCAATTTATGTATCTTTCTCTTTTCTATGTCTTTCTTTTCCCTTTATCGTAAGGAGAGATCGTTTTCCGTCTCTGCCATTTCTTATTTATTTTCTTAACCTGGAGTATTATTAGATTTTCCTCTTTTTCTACGTCTAAAGTCTGTTTATCTGTTTCTCTGTCTCCCTTCTTTACTCTCCCGTCTCCTCTTTGAACTTTCTCTTATGTATTTAGATTCTTTTACCCCTTCCTCTGTAACCACCTCCAGGTTTTCTCTCTTCATATTATCCCTCCCCCCTTTCTTCCAGTATTAACCCCCTCCCTGTCTCCTTTCCCTGTCTCCTTTCCCCTCTCCCTGTCTCCTTTCCCGTCTCCCTGTCTCCTTTCCCCTCTCCCTGTCTCCTTTCCCCTCTCCCTGTCTCCTTTCCCCTCTCCCTGTCTCCTTTCCCCTCTCCCTGTCTCCTTTCCCCTCTTCCTGTCTCCTTTCCCCTCTTCCTGTCTCCTTTCCCCTCTTCCTGTCTCCTTTCCCCTCTCCCTGTCTCCCTTCCCTGTCTCCTTCTCCTCCTCCTCTCTTCCCTCTTCTCATTAACTCCTCTGCTCCCCCCCCCTCCACCCTCCCGCTCGCAAGGGCTGTTATCCTACCTCAGCTCATCTGAAGCCTGCTCGTAGAGACTCATTTATTTCATGAGAATGTACTTTGAAACTATCACATAGGGAACTATAATAAAGGAACGATAATACAAGGAGCCTGATGAAACTGCAAGCAATTATAGCTTGCAGATGATAATTACAGCTCATCTTTACAGATGAGCTGTAATCCTACTTCAGCCCAGTTGAAACCTACTTCGAGAGACCCATTTATTTCATGAGCCTTTTTATGCATCAATAGATATAAACTTTATTCATTAACAACATTAGGTAACAATCATATAAGGAACAGGATGAGCCTGTAGCCAACTGTGTGTCAGAGCCTTCATGTGATCAGTCGACCTGATCTCCCGTGTATCAACCTGTTCAGCAAACAAGTTCTAGATGCGAGTCATTCTAGGAGTTGGGGGAGTGATCGCTGATGGAGTGATATTCTTGAGAAAGGCACTTCCAGCATGACACTGTTGAAGGTTGTGAGCCAGTACTATGGGTGCCAATTTCTAGTTGTCCACGGAGTTGGGCCAGGTGCGAAACTTTGAGAATGTTGACCTTGTACTTAACAATAAGACCACCAATGTCATGACGGTGTTGCAGGCTCTAATGTTCAGACCTTTCCACCACACTTGGTCATGACTAGAGATGAGCCTTCTTGCACGGCTTTCCACTGTCCAAACGTCTGATGAATTATTGGGAGGGGGGGGGGGCAGGTGATCCTGGAAAGATGTGCATACTCTAGATGAGAGCGAACTTGTGCTTCATATAAGGTTTTTCATCCCCTGCTGTCAAGGTGTGAGATGTGCCGTAGGGCTGCAAGTTTCCTGGCTGCCTTTTGGGCTAGGTTAAGCACGTGGCTCTTAATTATCATTGAAGAGTCAAACTTCATTCCCAAAATGAAAAAAAATCTGTAAACTGTAGGGTTTTGTCACCCACTTGCAAGCTTGTCCGATTTGCAATGTGCAGCCTAGTTAGCATCATCGCTTGGGTTTTCTCAGCCATAAATGTGACCTGCCATCGCCTACCCCAGGTAGAAAAAGCTGAAAGTTAGTAATTAATGAGTCTTGCAGCGGTTAGCATTTCTTCCTTTCAGTATGTAAAGGTTAGATCTAGTGCAGTCATCAGCATAGGCTTGAGCTTGAGGAACGAGATGAAGTAGATCATTGAAATAAACATTCCACAGCAGGGGGCCAAGCACACTACCCTGTGGAACGCTAGCTCTAATGGAGTGACTTTTGGATTCTGCTCCATTGACGACTACCCTTAGACTCCGTTCTTGAAGGTAGTCTTTGTATTATTCACCCTCTCCCTTTTATTACCATCTACCCATATTATCCTCTCCCCCTTAACCTCTTCTATCTCCCTTCTTACTTTCCTCCCCCTCTCACTCTTCTCCCTCTTACTCTAGCTCCCATCTCCCCCCTTTCCCAAATCCTTCTCGTCCATCTCTCCTTACCCTCTCCCATCTCCCTCGATATCTCTCCCTTTTCTCATGTCCCCCTTACCATTTTCCCAATCTTCTCATTACCCTTCCCCCCCCCCCAACAGCCCCCCCCCTCCCCTCGCTCGGTATCACACCTCGTTATACCTGCTCTTCTCTCGCTCTCCTCCTCGTAAAGAGGGGCGTAACCTGGGTTATCTTCTCCCTTGTCTCTCCCAACATTTCCGTGTGTCTTTATCTCCCCTTTTATTAGTTTCATTCCCTCGCTCGTTAGTACCTCTTTGTTGTTCCTCGTCTCCTTCTTCTGGGGTTTGACGATCTCCTCCTTGCCGTACTTCTCTTGTTGGTCTGCTTCCATCCTTGCTTCCTCTGTTTTTCACCCATTCTCTTCAGGCTCTGTTTCTCATTGTCTGATTCCTATACATTCCTGTCTCCCGCTGTCTGTTCTTTATAGTCCTTATTTATCTGATTTTATTCCATATTGCCCTCCTATTTCCCTCCCTTCTACTCCCTCCTATTTCCCCCTCTCCTACTCCCTTCCTACTCCCTCCCTCCCTATCCCCCTCTCCTATTTCTTCCTCCTATTCTAAACCCATCCAGTATCTCTCCAAATTTCTCTGCCTGCCTTGCACAGTGGTCCCGTGTGGGACCACTTCGACGGGCCCCAACACACACACACATCTGTAAATATGATAGAGCCCAATAGGCTCAGGAACCTGTACACCTGTTGATTGACGGTTGAGAGGCGGGACCAAACAGCCAGAGCTCAACCCTCGCAAGCACAATTAGGTGAGCGCACGCACGCACGCACGCACGCACACACACACACACACACACACACACACACACACACACACACACACACACACACACACACACACACACACACACCTCACTCACTCACTCACTCACTCACTCACTCACTCACTCACTCGGATTTACCCCAAGTGTGTAGCAACCTTACTTGGGACCATCAAAGAGGCGTTCGGCAGTAGTTAGCTAAGGGTATAACGTTCTTAAGACTACGACGAGCCTTCAGGTTCTTAAGACCAACACCTGTAATGGTTGAACATCTGTGGATATAACAGCGGTTAAAAGGAGGTTGTTAAATACATCCTTCAACCCACACATAGAAGAGACAGGAATCTGATGACGTTTCAGCCTGTCGTGAGTCAAGATTCATCAAGCATTTACATATCCCCCCCCCTTACGAAACCCGTACATCTTCTTAATAATGGCGGATGTGTTTACATTTATTGAGCAGTTTAGGAGGTTCCAAACCTCGCAGCTCGAGGTTACCATTACTATAAAACAACCTCGTACCGTGTGGGAGCTCTCGTTCACTATTTAATAGATATAAAGAAAGCCGCCATGATGGAGGGGGAGATATAAGGGTTTCGTTAGTGCTTGTACTAATGTTTGATCAGTCCTGGCGCTCCCCCGTCCTTCCTTGATCATTAAGATGTGGCACCTGAGGCACAGAACAGTTAGAGAGAGAGAGCGAGAGAGAGCGAGAGCGAGAGGGCGGGCGTGCGGCGTGCGTGCGTGCGTGCGTGCAGGTGTTCACTCCCTCACGTACTGACTCCTGGCCAGCCAGTTGTTTGTGACCAGGGGTGCCACTCCAACACTGGTAAACAATATATCACCTGAAATTAAGTCTATTGCAGGTGAAACTCTTCAGGAACATAGCTCTGTGTCTCCCTCTCCCTCCCCCTACTTCTTCTCCCTACTACTACTTATCCTTTCACCTTCCCTTCCTCATTTTCTCTCACTCCCTGCTCGCTCTCTCTCTCTCTCTCCTCTGTTCCCATTCGTGTCCACGTTCTGTTTACTCTCCCCTATCTGTGCCCTCCCCCATTTTTGTGCCCTTTTCCCCCAACCTTTCCTGCCTTTTCCAACCCTAATTCTTGCCCTCATTCTCCACTTTTCTTGCCGCCCCCCCCCCTCCCCTCTCTCTCTCCCCCCCCCCCCACACACCTGCCCCCTCTCTCCCCCCCCCCTCTCCCCACTCCCCTGCCCCCTTTCCCCCTCCCCTGCCCCCTCTCCCCCTCCCCTGCCCCCTCTCCCCCTCCCCTGCCCCCTCTCCCCCTCCCCTGCCCCCTCACCCCCTCCCCTGCCCCCTCTCCCCCCTCCTCTCCCACCCCCTCTCCCCCTCCTCTCCCACCCCTCCCCTTCCCCCTCTCATTCCCCCCCTCCCCTGCCCACTCCCCCCCTCCCCTGCCCACTCCCCCCCCTCCCCTGCCCCCTCCTCCTCCCCACCTTGCTCACCCATTAGCCACGCTCCCGTCCACAACGCGCTGAGCAAAAACCAATCCAAATTAACCCATTACAGGGCGGCGCGCGGGAGGAGCCAGAAAAATGGGGAGAAGAAAGGAGGAGGAGGAGGAGGAGGAAGGGGGGGGGGTGTGGGGAGTGCGGCTGGCCGAGGCATAGTAGGCAGATAATTGAATCATAGTCAGAGGTGTGAGGGAGATGTGGCTGGTGGAGATAGGGGTGTTTGGGGGGGGGTGGATAGGGGTGATGGGGGGATTGAGGTGTTGGGTGGGGTGTGTTGGGGGAAGGTGTTTGGTGGAGGGGAGGGCAAATGAGGGGGTTTTGTTTGGAGGAGTGTGGCAAGGAGTGGGTGGTGGTCAGATAGGGGGTGATGGGAAGTGTGGCAGATAGAAGATGTGTTTGGATAGATTAGAGAGAGAGAGTATAGAGAGAGAGAGATAGAGAGATAAGGATAGAGAGAGAGAGATAGGGGAGGGAGGGAGATAGAGAGACAGAGATAGAGAGAGAGAGAGACAGATAGAGAGAGAGAGAGAGATAGAGAGAGAGAGAGATAGAGAGAGAGAGAGAGAGAGAGAGAGAGATAGAGATAAAGAGAGAGATAGAGAGAGAGAGATAGATAGAGATAGGGGGGAGGGGTGGGCGGGGGCAGCAGCAGCATTCGCAAAAGCAACATCATCTTGGGCGGGGAAATCGAACTAATAGCTGCCTTTCACCCACTCTTTTGAACATCCAGCTGACCTACTCCCTCCCCATCATGGGGCCTGCACCACCATTACCAGCCTGCCTGCCACCCTATGCAATCAAATACTAACATGACGAAGGCCGCACAGGAATTTACAAACGACTTTGGAAAAACAATGGAAGAATATAATGAAATGTTTCAAATAAAACACATTTCAAAACGAAATCCAGAGCCCATTATCCGTGAATACCACCCAATCCACCATACGGATGTAGGCAGGATAATGGCACTCAAGGTTAATAGAACAGGAATCGAAATCCATGTAAATGGCAGAATAAACAAAGTAGAAACGACCTTGGGAAATCTGAGGAAATTCCGTTGCCTCGGCACGAACACGCAGCTAAACTTATATGAGCCTCTAGTCCGCTCGCATCTCTAATACCCTCCAGTACCACTACCTAACTTAAAAAAAATTAACGTGCACAAGCAGTGCAAAACTGCTAAAACAGTGCAAAACTACAAGCAGTGTAAAATAAGACGCTAAGGAGAGCAGCAAAACACCGTCCACCATATGATCAGACAATCCAGGAGCTCCATGAACTCCTGAACACACAGCCACTAAACATCAGACTGCAGTCACCAGTTTGTGGAAAACCATCGTAGTGTTGGAAGACCCAATGTTAGAAAGATTACTCCAAGACGAGACGCCTCGCTCCCACAGCTGGTGGCCCAACGGCTTGGATGAAAACAAAGCCCCACATTACAATGTCTCAAAAGATGAAATGCTGACCAGAATCAAACGCCCATTAAATACTTAAAACTGAACATGGAAAACGTGTTGACGAGCATCTAATCGTTTATATGTGAATGCTTCACACTATCTCTAGACATCTGGTAATGGTGACATATGAGACAAGCCTCTCACACACTTGGAGCTCTATAACAGCAGCTCCCAAACACACTAACATCGTGTATGGAAGGAGGAAAGGGGTGGGAGGAGGGAAGAGAGCCCATTTGCTATCCTCCCTCTCCCCCCCCCCCCCCCCCAAAAAAAGGGATGGTGTGGGATAGGGCGGGATGTTGGGGACAGTGTAGGGAGGCCGGAAATGAAGTGTAGGAGTATAAGCACTAGGCAGTGTGGCCGCCGGCTACCACCTGCTGTGGTGATGTAAATTCTGGTAAGGATAGCCAGGGACGACCAGGGACGGTGTGGTAGGGACGACCAGGGACGGTGTGGTAGGGACGACCAGGGACGGTGTGGTAGGGACGACCTGGGACGATATGGTAGGGACGACCTGGACGGAGAGTTAAGTGGAACGGGACAGATCGAGATTCTTTATTTGGCTTGAGAATAATAGAGTAAATATTTACACACACAGAGGAAAAGTGACTGTGTTGTGTCTGTTATTTAATACAAATTATAAAATTAATTAATCACACCATAAAATTATACTGTGTGATATCTTGAAGATAGAGTGTGTGGAGCCGATGTTAATGATGAGTGAACGGAATTAGGAATAAAGGACAAAGTGGTGAGAGGGAAGGAAGTAATGACGGATGAAACAGCTGCATGGGAGACTTCGGGGATGGGGGGGGGGGGGGCGGGGGGTTGGTCACTATCCCAGGCGCCACACATTGGAATATATCATTAACGTTTGATAGCTTCTCACCCCGTTGGGGAACATATATATGGCTTGTTTGTGTGGTATCTGCTATCGGCCTGACCTAGTCTACCACCACCCCACCCCTTGTCTACTCCTCCTATATCTACCATCTCCCCACCCCTTGTCTACTACTATATCTATTACCGCTACAATGAGTTCATTATAAAGAGAGGAACTTAGCAATAGGAGTGTGTGTGTGTCGTAGTGAGGGGGGTCTTGTGCTGCCCAGCTGACACCAGAGGCCGACCCCCCCCCCCCCCTCATCCCCAACCCCTCATCCACAACCCCCATCCCAACCCCCTCCCCTCCCCCCCCCAAGTATCCCCTCTGGTGCCGCTAATTGCGTTATGACAGTATGAAAACTCGCCTCGTCTGGGTGTAAGACAGCAAATGTAGCGTTGATGTTGTGTTACGTGAGAGGGGAGTGTTGGTGATTGTTGAGTGTGTGTGTGTGTGTGTGTGTGTGTGTGGGTGTGTGTGTGTGTGTGTGTGTGTGTGTGTGTGTGTGTGTGTGTGTGTGTGTGTGTGTGTGTGTGTGTGTGTGTGTGTGTGTGTGTGTGTGTGTTTGGGGTGTGGGTGTGGGTGGGGACACAGGTGGGGGTGTAGAGGAGAAACAGGTGTGGGTGTAGTGGGGGACAATGGATTAAATTCCTTAGGGAAATTAGAAGTATATATGAAAGAGACGAATTGAAACAGATTATATTTTGTTGATGATATAGGTAAGTGTGCCCCAGTGGG